TTATTAAAATAAGATATTTACTGATGTTTAAAGCATTTTCAAATAGTCCTACACTAACTTTGAAAATACTATTAATCTTACCTTAAAAACTATCTAAAATATGTATAAATACTTTAATTTTATATATTTTATTTTTATAATACAAATTTAACAATTCAGTTAAAAAAACAAGTTTTATAAATGATTTCTGTATGATAAAACCATAAAATTACATATTAATACAAGAGACAAATCGATCCCTTACAGGTAGGATATTAAGGAAATATAAATATGAGTCAACTCGATCGATCTCGAAAAGGAAATACCTCATATAAGATCACTAAAGCCTCTCAAGCAATTACAGATAAGCACGACGGCTATTTATTGAATGTTGAATATTATTGTTTACTTAGGAAGATAGGAATAAAAAGAAGGGGGAAAAAATCTCTTAATTTGATCTTTAAATTTTTCTAATTTAAAATGACTAAAAATAAATCTTTTTTTGAACTTTTTTAATACAAAATAAGGCATTAAAATGTATATGTGTTTTTTGTTTTACCGGAAGGCATCTTACTTTGTGTTAGCCTACAGGCTGTAGAGTGATGTGGTTGTTACAAACACCATCTGGTGTTGCAGTCTTAACTTCTGAACGATCGATCTTTCAGTTGATGGCCAAATAACGCCTTCTCATTAACTCGAATTGCGGTAATGAAGTATGAGAAGCCACCAGGGTATAGGATCAAAGTAACTGAATAAAAAGCTGGTACTTCTGTTGAAGATTTCTCAACAAACCACTTGCTACTTCCATCAATTAATTGCATTGCTCCTTGGCAATAATCCTAAATATGAACGATGAGTTAAAAATAAAACCTCTGATTTGACCATTACTCGAAGAGTGTTTTTCTTTTTCTTCTTTTTTTTTGAAGATGAGTACGATGAAAATAGAATTAACCTTCTCTTATATTAAGACTTGCCTATCTTGTGGGATCATTTTTAAATTTTCATATCATCCAATGAAATAAGATAAAAAATGGAATGCATTATCTTTAAAAAATTATTGAATATTTTTTATAACTTGAACAAAAATTTTTTAAAAATTTAATTCTTGTTCTATTATGTTATGTTTAAGATTTTATATTTATAGAAGTATATTAAAATAATTAATATTTTAAAAACTATTTTAAATCGAAGTAAACTAATTTTTTTATATATTAATATTTATATTAACACTAAATAGTTATCTGATATATAGATTTTTTTCTTAGAATCATCTAATAGTCTATATCCATTCTAGTAGAAACATTTTTCTAGTATGGTAACGCCAAATGCTTTTATCCGAAGAATTCTTCCACCTTAATAATACTAAATACTTATAATATAAGCCTATAAAAATTAGCCTACTAACATATGCTAGTAGACTAATTTTTCTAGAATACTAAATATTTTTATTCTACAGCTAATTATCCTCCATTATTTTTCTGTTATAATGATGGCACTTATATTCTAATAGGCATTTTTCTAGTCCTATTACTCTTATTTTATCACAATTAAATTCTTAAATATAATAGTGCTAAGTTCAACAATATCAACACTTCCTAATACGAGAAATCCAAGTACTTTATCATATAGACATTTTTTAATATGTAACACTACGTACTTAATATCGTTAATTCTTTATTAAATTAGTCAAAAACAACAATTTACAAATAGCCAGCCGGAATATAATATGTAAAATTAAATTAGAAAAAATTGAATTTTTGATATAATTAAAAATAAATGTTCCCCAAACNTAGAATAAAAAAATAAACATTTTACGACGACTCGTTACTAAATAATTAAGTTGTAAAATTATTTTTGTATTTATAAAATTACAACTTAATTGTTTTATACGTAATGAATGTAAGTTGACTGAAGGGTCTAAAATTATGTTTATTATCGGTAGCTCTTCAATTATCCTGTCTAATTTATTGCATTTATTCATAGTACAAAAAATCGTGTTTGGATAGCGTGTTGTATTTATAGATATAGTAGATATAACTGCTACTCTGTACGTAGACTCTTAACTTTAGTTGAGAGTTGAATTATTACTTAAGTAATTATGATTGTTTAAATGCATTAAGTTCTTTTTTTTATAAACTGTTAGAATTGAAAATGATTTTTCAAGGTCTTTCACCCTTTAAAAAAACATTCTTAAATGGTTTGTTGATTAAATTTAATCGATGGTTGAATACTAATTTTTTTATTAAGGATGTTACAATCTTAAGAGCGTTTTATAACACTTAAAATAAATAGCTTCGTAATTAAGATTGCGTCAAAAAACAATTTAAACATTTCTTTTAAGTTTGAGCGATAAAAGAGCTAAGTCATTGAGCCTGTAATAGCCTATAAGAGTCGTAAACAGGCTGTATAGCCTGCTTTGCAAACTACACTTGCTCGTAATATGCCAAGGCATTTGTGTATAATCTGTATTGTAGCTTATAATAGGCCTTTATATTGTATTCATCCTACATTAGAGCCAGTTATAACCTATTATAGATATATTTTAATTTGTAAGAAGCTTATATTGCGTAATTCCTGTATCAAAACTTATTAAGCCTTTACGACCTGTAGGATATTAGTCTCAAAAGGCATAAGTACTTGTACTTAATAAAATAATAATTTAATTTTAATTATAAAAGAGATATATTCAAATTCATAAAATATAAGTGCCTGATTAAACATAATGTATTGGAACATCTTTAGAGATAAATTATTATTATTTTTTAATTATCTTTTCAAAACTATAAATAAATAGCATGGATATGTAAAGCATATAAATAAATAATATGGGTAAAGTAAAATATTAAAATTAAATTAAGAAAAAAAACGAATTTATGTGAAGAATTAAGGAACATATTCATGAAGAGAAACAAAATTCGTTTCATGCAATTGAAGAACCTCTTTCTAAAATACAAAACACACAATCCAATCCAATTAATTTACAACTTCTTTCTCCTCTTTTACGTAATCAGAATCAGTACGATTTTCTCTAGTGAATGGTTTCATTAATCAGCTTCGTCTCTCTCTAACGATAGTGGGTCTCTCATCGAATGTGCAAGAAGTCGTGATGCAGATGTTCTACTTAGTTTGGACGATTTGTTCCCTCGGCTGTCACATGTCTCGCTGCTAATTATTGAAAAGAGTCGAAAAACTTGAAGTCGAAAGAGTTATTAAAATATTTTCAAAAATTATAAACCTTCGTTTATTAATTAGATTTGCTATTTCGTCGTCGAGATGAATTATATATATATATCCAGCAAGGCAATTCTGTTTTGATGTGACTATAAAAATTTTTCTGATTGATCTTTTATAATTTTGTTCTTAGAATCTTTCAAATTGAACAAATAATTTATTAACGTGATAAACATTAATAAAAGTGTTTAATTAATACACTGCTGTAATTTTAAAAATAACTTTATAGAAGAATATAAATGATTATAAATTTTTTACAAACAAATGAAAGATTATTTCAAATAAATAATGCATAAATTAAAATAAGAAAAAATTCAAAATAAAGTGTCAAAATCGATAATTAGTAGTTTAGAAGATTTCTATGATGTTAGTGATTATATTTTAGCTTTGTGTCTTTATTTTTAGGGGAATGGAAGTTCAGTGTCGAGATAGTGCAGAGATAAAGTAATGATTATCCCAAAAGTGAGAGAGCCCAGCGGATATTTGCACCAACTACGTCTTCTAATGTGGGTGTGCAGTAACAGGATCTCTCTTACTATCTTCCATTAGCTTCAAGCAATCGAAGCAATGCTCATGGTATTTGTTCTCCGTTGATACTTAGATATCGACAATGTTTTTAAGTCATACCAAAATTGCTAACAATAGCGAGTGAAGCAGTTCATACTTCTTAATGGCCAACTTGTTAAAGCGCAGATGGAGAATAAACACCTGGGATATTTCCTTCTATAGGGAGAATTTCTAACAAGAATCTTCTTGGAAACTCATGAATCTTCGTCTTTTCCTTTAATCAAATTGTGTAAAATGATACTCCTGTAAATGTTTATTTTTAGTCGATTCATTCCGGAAAATATAACAATTATACAGAAGAATTGTGGTCTTTGCGACATTCTAACGTTTAATTAAATAATTATTTTTCATTTTAGAACTATAGTTTGTTGGTCTATGATATTCATTGATTAAATCCAAAAGAAAGCAGTCAGTTATTTGTTGTTTTATTAACTTAGTCATCCAAGGTAATTTCTTTCATGTTTTAATATCTTTAAATAAGCATATTTGATTATTTTAATTAAACTTATAATTATCATAAAAAATATCATTGATAAATATTTTACTTTAAGTAATAGAAATTACAGAAATTTAAATATTTTTAATTGGACTGATTAATGTTTATGTTTGTCATTTTGTGTTAAAAATTGCTATTTAATATCAATTCAGTTTCAGATCATATCTATGTTTATTTGCTCTTTTATTCATGAAAAATTTTAAGTCTAGACTTTGTCTACTCTGATGTAATGTATTTAAGAATTTATAATTTTGCCATGACAAATGGTTGATTATAAAAAGTTGCATGGCAATAATAATTTAAAATATGATGTTGGAATGAAATAAAAGTGAGAATTTTAATATGTGAGAAGGAGTAACTTTACTAGAATTAACTAAAATAATATTTTTGAGTATTAAATAAACAAAGTGATCTCTATTAAAGGAAAACAAGATTAATGGAAGATAGAAGATAAACAATGAATATTAATCATTTTAATGTTGATTATTGTTCTATTAATCTATATATAATTTATTTTATATATTTTTAAAGTATGTAAAAACATGTCATATTGGAAGGAGAAATTTGTATTCATTAAATAAAATAGTTAATAACATGGCTATTTCATAAATTATATTAATTAAATAGATTATTTTAATAATTAGAGAATATTAGAGAAAATAATTAAAATATTTTATTAATTATAATAATTAGATTTAAAAGCAAATATTAAAGTTTAAAATTGAAAATTTAATTTCAGATTCTGATACCGCCTAAAGATTTAATAAACAAACTGAAACAGGAAGCTGACACACCAAAATTGGTAAGAAAATTTTACAAAATTATTTTAGAATATCAATTTGTTATTTCAATATTTATTTCTACCAGGTATTGGATCAAGTAAAATACAGAGTAGAGTGGACTAAACATCAAGAAGCTATTAAAAGACGGGAAGAGGAGGAGGCTGAAAGGGAAAGAGGTAATAATTTTACATTACAGTTGTCAACTATATAGGGAAAAAGGGCTTATTTATTGGAAAGATGATGGTTGCATATTGGCATATATTTATAATTATTATTGCAAAGCTGATATCAATTAATCAATTAAAATATTGTTTCATAAATACCAATTTAAATATATTAATTGAAATATAAAAGAAATAAATGATGAATTTTTATAAATTTTAAATTCATATATTTTTCAGTTCAGTATGCTCAAATTGACTGGCATGATTTTGTTGTTGTGGAAACTGTTGATTATCAACCAAATGAACAAGGTAAATAGAAATATAATACGTTTATAGAATAATATTTTAAAAAATTCTAAAATATTAAATTGTTTATTGCAGGACTTTTTCCGTCATAAGACGTGTTTATTAGAAA